GAGAGAGAGAGAGAGAGAGAATACTCGTGACGACCCATGGAGACTAAAAAATACTGAAACCAAAACATTGGAACGCAACAGTGATTTGAACCTGCAAAAAAATCTATCCTAAGATAATTTCTTTTTTGAAAAGAGATTGAACCTTGGAGAAGAATTCTGCACAGAAAAATTCGATATTTATTTAGCGATGCGTTAAATGACCAATTACTTAAAACATATATACATAAGTTTTTTAATATAATTTTGGATCAATACACAACAAAAGACTGCATATTCTTAATGCAATTAGAATATTAACGAACAATTATGTTACATGATAATAAAAGTATTTCTTTTCTTTTTTTTCAAATGAAATGATTGCTTATTAAATATAAAAAAAGATTTATTGATTAATAGATTATTATGAAACTTACCATAAGAATAAGACTTTATGATGAAGTGTTTACATCATTTGTTAAGGAATTGAGAAGTGAAACTTTATTATCCTCCAAATCTAGAGGATCCGAGGTATAAAGACTGGTCGTAGCTGTATCACCTGCTGTGCTAGTTACAGGAGATGTGGCATTCAAAAAAATGTCATCATCGAAATCTAATAAATTTGAAGTAGGATTATATGCCATAAGTTCACCACCACTTGTTCCACTAATGTTTTCTGCAACTATAAACAAATTAAAATATTAAAAATATTTAGATAAATGGTTAGATTTTTAATAATATTTAAATAATTATATCTATAATTGGAAATTTTACCATTAGTATGATCATCTTCCTCTTTCTCAGAATGTGGATTTAATTCTGGATTAACTGGCATACCGAACGACATTGGATCATCCGCTCCAAATAACTGCAAATGCATATTAATTAATAATAAAAATTTTTATTTTATTTATTAAATTACTTACACCAAGAAGTGTATTTGCATCAATACTGTAACCTTCGCTACGTAAGATTTCACGGAGATTGTCCAATTCCGTTTGCATTGTTTCGAGATGATTATCCATTTCCTCCCTATACAGAATTATTTAAAGTAGATCAAAATGTATAAACATATTAAAAGTCCATACTTTGTGAATCATAAAGGAAAACGTTGTAAATCCTTTCAATATTATTCAATATCCTTTCATCCTGAAATGTACAATCTTTCTATATGTTTGAATGACTTCATAAGCAGATTAATATCTTTATTTCTCTTTTTTGTTAAGTTAAAAATATATTTGGCTCAACAAAGTAATAAAATAGAATGTTTATTTAATATAAAATAAAAATAAATGATTTTTTTTATAATTGCTACTTATGTAATCAAATCAAAGAAATTTATAAGAGATTGAGTATTTTTTCAATATTATTTTGCAATATTAATAAAATATTGGCATTTTTGCAGTGCACGACTTCCGAAACCGTTTTATATTAGTTTAAATTAATATTGAGAAATATTCAAACCAAATTGACCTTTGGAAATCAAAAAATAAGATGAACAACTAATAGAACAATTATGTTATAAACTAAATGAGGATCTAACAATCGTAACACTACAATTACCAAATATATCATAAGTATATAAAAGATGAAAATAGTTTCATATAACATATCTCATAAATGTAATTTATAATTTCAATAATTCAGAAAGAAGATTATTTTGAACAAAATAAATTATATACATATATACATATATACATATATATCTGATTTTTATATATATATATATATATATACACATAATTATGAATCCATATTTATTACTTTTAATTAAATAATTATTTTAATTAATTTTTTTAAGAAACTGAATACTAGATTTTTGTGATTATTTTTAAATTAAATAGAAGTATTAAAATTGATAACAAAGAAATTATAATAATTTGGAATATATGAGAAAAATGATACCAAGAATCCTCTATTCTTCAGATTTTATGGAATATCGTAAAATCCCTAAAGATCATAGGCAACCATTTAGAAATCTAATAAAAAGTCATCAAATTATTATTAGTAGAATGTTATAAATTGAAACCTTTCTGATTGTAATGCGAATAGAGATAAATTGGCTCCCACCTCTGTTTTTTGATTAAGAAGTTCCACTATAGATAAGTGGAATGTGCAGCATTCAACATTTTTTTTACCCATGGTCTGTGTTGAACTTACATTGAACCTAACCTGTAAGCAGCGTCACACATGCCAGAAGAAATGACACAACTTAGAGATAAATTTTTTGAATTGCTTGTGCTTGCTCCATTGCAGTTGTCTTTTTCTTGTTCCAAACATTTCTCAGCACCATTTGTATAGGAATTTCTTCTATTATTCTGTTCATTGTTATCATCTACTTTGTTTAGTTGATCAAATGTAGTGTCATTTTCACTAGTTTCAGAATTGCCATTATTTTCACTAAAGTCGTTCTCATTACTTTCAATATCTTCGTTGATGATTTCTGGCACTATTAAAATGTCCTCAAGTTTCACTAAAGTTGGATCATTCTCTTGAATATCTTCTTCCAAATCTGTTGGAGTTTCTATATCGAGCTCGTGCTCTGTTTCAGTGGTTTTACTCATATTAGCTGCCATTGCTGCAAGTTTTGAACTACGTACAGTTGCCATAGGTACTGGTTTAGAGACTGGTTTATTTTCCAACAAAGCGATCGTCACTGGTGAATCCTCTAATGGCATTTCAAGCATATGTGTTTCTTCCCTAGAAAAGTGAGATAAGCAGTTGCCAATCTTCGTTCTTGAGCTTTTAAAATCGTTGCTGTGCCATAATCTGTTTTTGAACACATTTTTGACTACAATTCTGAATGATGGAAGTATTGCAAGAGCATACACAGATGAATTTAAAGCATTATTACAAGAACATGCTTCTAAGTAGGCAATAAATTATAATTATTATAATATTAGTCAAATTGTAATACTTCTTTTATAAAAGAAATCTATATAATGAAAAACAGAACATAGTATTATACTAAAGTGATGTATATATATATATAAAATATATATAAATAAGAAAGTTAAAGAACTATTATTATTTTTTTGTCTTGATAATATTAAATATATTCATTCTTTTTTATTTTATTTATAAAAATTATTTATGTTATTTAAAAGTAAATATTTAATGGTCAATTTAGTTTGATTTCTTTTTAAAACTGCTTATAATAAAAAATTAATATTATAATTTAAATACTAGATATATATATATATAAAGAATTATATTTATTATTTATATTAAAATATAGATAATCTATTAGATATATGTATACAGATATGTATAATTAAATTTAGAAAAAAAAAGAAAAAAAAAAACAATCATGCATGGAATAAATTTAAAATATGCAATCATAAACATATCTCTTATTTTATATATGCTATAGAAAAATATGTACTTTATGTAAATAAGAGCAATCTTTCATGCATATACATACATACACACACATATAATATATATATATATATATATATATGTATCAAAATTTGAATAATAATAAAAATGAATTTCACAATATATTGTATGTAATAAAATAAATTAACTTTTATCATCAATTTAAGAAAATAATAATTATTATATCAGCAAGTGTACTCAGAGGCATAAGTAAAAATATAAATAAAATAATGACATTAATATGAAATGATAGCTAGTGATAAAATTTTTAATATAAAATATATATATAATATAAAATAGATTGAAATTAAATACAAATAATTTTTAACCAAGGATTAACAAGACTTCTCTCATAAAAATAACAAACTATTAAAATAATATTTTCCAAGCTTTAACTTTCTTTAAATTTATTTTAATGTCAAAATTATAATTAATATAAAATTAAAAAAAGCAACTACTGATAGTTGAAAGATTGGCAGACTAAAAGAAGATCATTTTAGTACCAACTTTTTATAAGAAATGCTTTCAAAAAAGAATATTATCGCAATATTGCCGAATGTTCATGCAAAATATGAAACTAAGCAAAATTGCGATATTATAAAATAATTTCTAGAAGTATAAACACCAACACCAAAAATGACAACAAGAGAAAAATGTTAACCTCGGTTCCTCTCCATTCTCCGTTGATGGGATCAAAATTTTGACCGGCACCTTGTTTTTCCTCCTGGCAATATTTAAATTGCAATGATATAAGTAATAATTAGAATGAATTAAACTTATGAATAAAAGAAAAAAGAAGTCTTTTGCAAATTAAATTTTTCTTCTGTGTTTTAAGTAGCTGTAATTAAATTATGATATATGATCATGTTATTTAATTTTAATAAAAAATATATAATGAATGAATCTACTATATATGATACAATTTAAAAGATCAAAATTTATGCCCCTGTGTCTTTCTCAAAATAAATATAATATAAATCTTAATTTGATTAAAATATTATTAATTCATCAATCAAATCAATGTATTAATTTAATACATTCCATGCATGGGAAATAATTGGAATGTGTAAAAAAAAGATATATTATAATTTGTTTTCTTTATCAGTTTTCTAATCTTAGAAAAAAATAAATAATAAATAAATTTGAATTACAAAAATATTTTTTTATAGAATTATGAATATTGGCATTTCTTTGTGTTTATCATGCAAAACTCCATCTTATAATTCTAAAATTGAAAGATCGTATATAACGTACATATACGTCACTTTTATCAATAAGAAACTCTACAATTAGAACACATAATAATATGAATTTTATTTAACTTACTTTTTTTTACCTTACATCCGCGTTTCTTTTTCGCTTCAATTTCTTGTGTATTAATAAGTTGTATATCATCTTGTAATTGAACAGAATCATCAACCAAATGAATTGTTTCCATATTGTTATCTTCCATTATTAATGTATTATTATGCTCTGGACTTTCAATAGCTGGATTTGGATGTCCTTCAAGCATTCTAAATATAAAAGAAAATAATAATAAATTTACATGAATAAAAAGAAATAAATTTATAATATTACAAATTACATACTCTGCAACAATATATTCTGAATCTAGATCTGGTTCTGATGCATCAAGCTCATGAATAACAGGTCCTGCGGGAGATGCTTGTGACTAAAAATACAAAAATAATTAAAAATACAAAATAAAAAATTATAAAAAATATATGAAATATATATATGAAATATAATTACCTTGGATAATTTTGCTTGTTTGTTACGTTGACGGCTAGAATCATCAATCATTAATGGATATCTTCTCTTAACAGAAAGACCACCATTTCTTGAAGGTTGTACTAAAGTAACTAAAAAATGTATAAGTTTATTGACAATTTGTTGTTGTTTAAGATGTTTTTGTCTAAGCATTGCTAATTCTCTCCATAATGCTTCATTTTCTCTTTTCATAGCTCCAAGTCGTGAATCTAAATGTTCTTGACGACCTCTCATACTTCTAACTTCAGTAAGCATTTTATTCATTAATTCTGGCTTAATAGGAGTAAGTGTTGGATCTTGTCCTTTGCTAGATGCAATCTAAAAATTATTATAAGATATTTCTATATGATGTGTATTTTTAATAAAATTTATAATATAAAAAATACTTACTTTTCTTTTAATATGTTCTACCAAATATGGATGTCCTTTACAAAAAAACTGATGTGCAAATTCCATTTCATCTCTGTCACATTTTAAACCACCAAGTTCGACAGAAACTTTTTTATGAAAACCATCTGAAATATATATATATTAAATATAATAATAATAATAATAAATAAAATATTATACATAATAATATATATTATATTATTATATATTTATATACATTTATTTTTATTTATTATATACAAATATATAAATATATACATATATGTACACGAAATATTATATATTACTACATACACATATTCAATTGTCTGACAAAGCTGGCCATATTATTGTGTTTATAATAATGTGGTAATAATTCTCTAGCAAATTGTGCTTGATTTCTGATGAAAAAACTCCGTCCATTCTAAAATAATAAATATTACATAATTTTTTTATAATATAAAGATACAAATAAGAAATATTACAAATATTATAATTAATATTATAATATTATAATTAAATTATATTGTATTTACAATATATGCATTAATACATGAATAATAAATGAAATATTTTCATAAAAATGAATTATACAATTAAAATTAAAGTAATATAATAAAAAAAAGACAATTATCTAAAATCAAATTTTATATATATTTTTTACTTTTATTATTAGAACTTATCTTATTTTATATATATATATATATATATATATATATATATATATATATAATAATAATAATAATAATAATAATAATA